AAAAAAAAAAAAAGAAATATGATTTTGGACAAGACAAATTTAAATAAGAGAACTTGCCATTTAGAATACCGACTTACATTTTTTAAGGGAATTTTTCCACTTTCATATAGTATACAAGCAAACCTTTCAAAAACAAGGACATTTGCTGCTTTTATTAATGCTTACCTGGGTATTTGTGAAGTATTTAGTATTACTGTAACATGACATACTATGTTTGAGCAAATGGGGGTATCAAAAGAACCAAACTGCATTCTTTTAGATTCTACCTGTCATTCTTCAGTGATTTATCAAAATCTTAATGTCAATTGCTGATGTCTTTGCTTTTACTTGCTCATACCATGCTATGTCATTTCTTCTCAAAGTTCATACCATCAGCTGGGAAAATGCTTCAAAGGTCTTAACAGTGTTTATTCATCTAGTGTTTATACATCTAGATCTTGGCATAGAGCCACCTACCTACAAATTACAACTGTTAAGAAAACTTGGCAGAAAAATACATAGTCACTTTCAGAAATGATAAAGAGCAATGGTCATGGCAGTTTTTCTTTGTAATTTTAGAACCAACTATACATTGGATAGCTTTGTTTTAAACCATATATTAGAAGTGAAATCTACTGGGAATAGGAGGTAGACAATTAAATGCACTCCAAATCCAGCTTCCATTTGTGAATATGTTTTTAAAATGAAGTTTAATGGACTTCTTCAAAAGGGAACGTGATTACAAGTTTAATTTTTTTCTCTGTTCTAAAACATATTGTATAGTAAAATTAAAGGGGTCTCATCATGACTGATGTGTATAGCTCCAGCTCCAATCCCACCTTGAAAAAAACCCCAGGGGTTGAGAGGCTGAGTGTGTGTGAGGTGTCATTTCCATAGATTTCAATCTGATTGTGCCTTCTAGAGACATTCAGGGCACAATCAAGATAGCTATGGAGGAGACCCTGGTCTTCCTTCCATAGCCAGCTAAACTATTGACACTTAGCATTTTCTACCTCCTTTCATACTTCCCATTTATTCTCCAATAACCTTATTTTTCTTTTCTTTTTAAATTTTATGTTTATTTTTTTTATGTGGTGCTGGGGATTGAACCCAGTGCCTCACGCATGTTAGGTAAGCGCTCCACCACTGAGCCACAACACTGCCCCCACTAATAATTCATGTTTTTAAATTTACTCTAATTTGTCATATATGACAGCAGAATGCATTACAATTCATATTACATATAAAGAGCGCAATTTTTCATATCTTCATTTGTACACAAAGTAGAGTTACACCATTTTGTCTTCATATATGTACTTAGGATAATGATGTCTATCTCATTCCACCGTCCCTTTCCTACCCCCATACCCCCTCCCATAACCTTAATTTTCTTAAAGAGATTTATATATGTAGTTAAAATATCAGCCAGTGGAAAAAGACAATGAAAACAGACATTCCTTACCTTGTCTCTTGACATTTTAAGTTTTTTCCCTGGAGGAAACCATTGCCAACTCTTAGCTGTTTCTCCTGGCATTTATGTTCATATTCCTAAATAATGTGCTTGTGTTCTTTTTATTTCTAGGTTTTAAATATCTCGTCTTCTCATTTCCATGTTGAAAGTATAAGATTTAGACCTCTCATTTGTCCCCTTTTTTAACTCTTACCCATCCTCCTCAACATAATTACTTCACTATTTTTGATAAATCAGCAGCCAACATTTATATGTTTATATTTTTATATGTTTACAGTGTAAAGTTAAATATTCTTCTTGCTGAACCAAGTAGTATACTATGGGTGTGCTATCTTCCTCCTATTACTTTTCCCTCTTCAAAAGAACTGCTTTTTCATCTGCTTTGTTTTCTATACATCTATCTATTTTTTTCCCAAATGCTCCATTAGATCTGCCAAACACCCATCTGTAATTTTTCCAAACACTCAGACACATCAGCTTCACATTTTCCCCTGGAGACCTTCCTAGAGCAGCCCTTGGCTATTACCTCAGTCTAGGCTGGTTGTCCTCTAAGCCTGCTGCACAGCTGCTGTTCTGTTGCATAGGCTGATTCAAGGTTTCCTGATTCCTTATCTTCTACTTCTCTCATCTATGTACCTGTGTACTTGCATTTTGAAGTGCACCTTCCAGTAGTTTGTATATAGAGAAAAAAATCCTTCAGTGAACTCTCTGGATCAGGCTGGGAATAGGTCAGGGGAGGTGAGATGAGAATCTCAGTCATGTGTAAACTTTTCACTCCCTTGCGTTTGTTCTATGCTGCCCATTCCTGTGCCAAGGTCTAGAACTTCTTAGGCTAGTTTTCCCACAAATTAATCCTCTGGTCTTGGTAACAATGATTTAAGGCTATGTTCTTCTCTTTTCATGATCAAGCCATCTAATCTCTTTTGGGTTTCTTTTTACCTGAGTGCTCTTCCTCAGTCTCCCTTTCTGATTCTTCATTTTATGCATACATGCTAAGAATAGATGTTCCCTACATCTCTATCAAAAGCTGTTTTCCTACTCTGTGTGCTT